GCGATTGGTAGGGGAAAAATGCTTCTGTTTTCTACTTTCGAGCGAATTAAGTGTGTCTGCGCTCGCAAGCTTCCCAACGCGAATCTAAGCAACCTCTATGCCGTAGCAAGAAAAAGTTCTCAAATCTAAAGAAGATCATAATAAAATAAGAAGTTATCTTCTCATTAGCAGTGTGATAACAAGGTCGCAATTCTCTCACCTTTTAGATGATCCAGCTTAACTGTACTACGTGCTGGCTTGGTTTCTCTGTGCTTTTCTTGATGTCAAATGCGTGCGACTGGGGTGTAGTGACTACATGTAGGGGTGTTGTTTGAAGATATGCGCATCGGCACAGCACCGTGAACATTACTTCAACGCAATGTGAAAGGGCGCAATCAGGCGACGCGATTGCCTGCAAACATCGCGAAGCCAGGTCAGCCAGAAATCTGTAATATCCTCCTCCTCCCTCATCATCGCCACCACCATCATCATCATCATCATCATCTCATCATTAAATCTACACTCAATTGAAATCACGGTGTAAAATTTCTCCAAGGCTTAATCGTAATGTCAGAATGGGAAAAAATGTATGTCATTCTGATTTTTGTTGAGCAGAACTTCCTCACTCAGTGATAGCTTGAACTCGGTCGACCTCAGTGTCACGGTATTTATCTCTGCTGCGTTGTTCAGACAGTACACTTGATCCGTGGAATTTTCTGCTCTAGTCAGCCATCCTGTGGTCTTTGCTCACGTACCGGTACCAGGTTTTAACAAGTAAGATAATCAAGTTTTAAGATTGTGAACATTCAGCAAGAGGCTCAGTTCAAGATGTTTGTGCGACCCTAATTCAATCAATCAATGGATAATTGAATAACTCGTTGCTTGTTACAATAATTTCCTATTCAATGAAATACGGAAAAAACAGCGCACCTTGTCACATACAAGGAGATTGTTGGCTTTTCCACAGGTGCATTAATAACGTGGAGAAGCTCGATTTCGCGAGTACTGACAGTTGCTAGCAATGGGGGATATCCAAGCTAGCGTGAACGTATGCCTGCAGTTGCACAAAGGTTGCCAATTATTGAAGTAATAACATTGGAGTAACAAAGCAAACCTATCAATTTTTTTTCTGTACGACACCCGAGAGCTTTGGTAGATCGATTTGAATCATGAAGACAAGGGATAACCAACCGCTAATTTGTGACCCCTTGAAATGTACTTAGATTGTCATTTTTAGGGGCGAAGCTCCTTAGGGCGTGGGCTGTGCGTCCCCTGTAGCCTGTATGTAGCCACCTCTAGTTTAGTTCTTGCAGTGTTCACTAGATGGCGGTACCGTCCCCTGTATGTAGCCACCTCTAGTTTAGTTCTTGCAGTGTTCACTAGATGGCGGTACTGTCTCCTGTATGTAGCCACCTCTCGCTTAGTTCTTGTAGTGTTTACTAGATGGTGGTACTTGTAGCTGATGATGAAAAGATGCAAGATGTTATAAACTAGAAAGCGGTACTTGTAGTTGATGAAAGACGCGAGATCTTATAAAATAGGAATGATGTCACATATGGCGCGTGTCATTGGTTGAAGGCAATCGTTCGATTTAGTGCGGCGACGTACGCTAGGGGGAGCATTGTAATAAAATCTGTTCGCTGTTGGCGCGCGCTCGGAGTCGCCGGATGGATAAGGCTGCACAGCGGAGAGAGCGCAAGGCGGCAGCAGCGCGCGCTGCCGCCTTGCGAGAGAACAGGCGCTGAACGTCATCTGTGCATGGGGGTCAAGGTGGGAAGCTATACGATGAATCTTGAGTATCAAATGGCAAAGCACGTAGAAAAATTTCGGTAGACTTACGCATGCATGGTTGACTGAGTGCACCGCCTAAATGGCAGATTACACGGAAGATTCACAGCAATTACACGGAAGATTCACAGTTTACCGATGAATCCCTCCGGAGCTTCGCCCATTCATCATCATTCACCCCGTGAATATGCCGTAATTTTTTTCCTCTGTTGTCTTTAGAGCCGATGCAGACCTTCTAGATGTGAAGCATCTTAAAGCTGGGTTCTATCCAGTGTGCAGCGTGACCACCCTTACTGCACATGTGCGTCACCCCCCCTCCTCTCCAACGATTTCACCCTCTCTCGCCTCACAACGCCGACGCAGGCAGCGTCCCCTAGTCTACGCTCTCCTCCTTTCTCACTCCTCGAGGCGTCCCTCCCTTTGACGTTCTCACACCCATTACGCATGCGAGTCCCCTCTCCCTCTCTCACCTCGCAACGCTGACGCAGGCAGCGTCTGCTAGCAAGTATTCCGCGTGAAAAAACTGACTGCTAGCGCTGCACAACCATTCACTATCCACTCTTAGTACATAGGCTATAGTGAAAAAAAAAAGTCATATTCTACTTCACTATAATATAGGCACTGGATCTTGGCCTCCAAAGCAGTGCCGGTAGGAGATTTTTCTTGTGTGTTGTTGAACAATAAGAATTCGCAGCGTGCGTGGAAACTAAAAGCAGATTGATGGTCTCTGTGTTCTGTCTCCCATTGCCCATTAGCAGCGAATGGCACGTTCCAGTAGGAAACACCGGTTCATCGCTGCGTGCTTTACGCTTTCCCAGGTTTCTCTCCTGCGCAAAGCCGCGATGACCACCAGCGCCAACACCGCCGCCAGTGTATGCGTTAGCAGCCGCTGCATGGCATTTAATCAGATTCCATTTAGCAGGAGTTTTTTTTTTTGCATAGGCTGTATACTTAGTGAGACGTTGTATCTAATGCCTCAGCCAGTGCATGGATTATATTTTATTTTTAGAGACGATAGTCTTGCTTGGGATACCTTAACGCAGAAATTTAGGTCTGCCTGCCTGTCTGTCGGTGGTCGGTCGCACGATTCAGCCATCCGACTAAAGCTTAAGCACATGTTCAACATCCGCAATCTTGAACTGGTACCTTCGTACATACTCGTGAACATTGTCGATCAAAAAGCAATGATTTAACATATCTAAGACGCAGCATTACAACGCAAGTATTAGGTAGCGTGTCTTTTGTTAGAATATACAAATATACGTAATTCTAAATACTCTAATACTCCTTAGGCTGCGCTGCAAATGCGACGCTATACATGAAAGAAAGCTAGCAGAAGAGCATCGTTTTTTGACGACATTTGCAGCGAAGCAAGCAGATACGTGACCATTTTTCTTTCTTCTCTTCTTTCTTGTCCTTAAACTACTCCTAACGAAAGGCAGCTGATCGGCAAAATAAACCAGTTAATCTTCCTGTATGTCCTCCTCCCTCTCCCCTCCACTTTTTTAGATATATACACTGGCAACGGCATTACAGAGCTACGCTCGACAAGTCTTTATTGTCTGAACTTGCTGACTGCGCGCTAGTCGCGTCTCTCAGGACTATAATAAATAAGTAAAGGTTTTTTATAATAATAATTATATTCAATATATTCAATACAATAATACACTACGACGAAAAAAAATGCATAAAATACAGAAGGTGGTCCTAAAGTGAAAACTGTCGGGGGTACCTCCTGTTAGAACGCCATTCATTCATCCGGTCAAACACGAGTGACCTTTGACCCGAGTCGACTCAGACCTTTCGCTCCCTTCGCAGCTAATCACGAGCATTCAGCTTCCCCGATAGATGTCCACACACATAATACCGTTGTTGTTAGTTGTCGTGAAGCGGTGCCTCGCTAATAGACGTAGTTTGCGCGCGGCTTGTCTCGCCGCCACCGACGATGCCACCGGGGGAGAGGCCTTCTATTCGCATCCTGGAACCTAACCAGCAGTTGACAGCTCCGCGAGACAAGTGGCTGCGAACGCGTCCTTCGCAAACGGAGAAGTCTCCTCTCAGAACTGACACACGCACGTCGCATGCACACAGGACATGTAAGCGTGTGGTACGCGACTAAACCAAACGCGGTCTCACCAACTCCACGAGGTAGAGAGTGTGCGTGTTTGAGAAAGAGAGAGGGCAGAGAGGGATGATGAGCGTGGCGTTAATCGGTTGTCGGCGCCGGCGGAACGCGTCCGACGCGCTCGCCTATGCGCCTCTCCTAACGGCGAGCGAAACAGAGTGAAAGTGGCGAGAGACCAGCGGGAAGTCAGTTCACCCGCGCGCGCCAACCGCGTCGTGCTACTTGACACGAGTTCTCGCCAAATTTAGCGAACGAGCGTTGAACACCTGCTTCCTGGTAGTTAGTAACTTGTCTGAGGCGAAAGTGTGTGTGGGCTCGCGTTTCGACAGTGAAGATATCTAAAGGTTAAAGCGAGCTCTTAAACGCTGTTGCGTTAACAACTACGCGCCGCTTAACGTGCTTTCAACGAGTGTGGGGGAACGCCCGGTGGTAACCAGGTTTTATCGGTGTGTTACCAATATGTTAAAGCCATGCTCAAATCAGCTGAGAGTGCGGAGAGAAAGACCAGGACAAGCGCCTGATGCGGCCTCTTCTGCAAGTTCTTTTTTTTTTTGGAGGGGGGGGGGGGCGAAGCTCTTTACGCCGTGGGTCGTATGTCCCGTCTCATCGTAGTCGCCGTAGTAGCCAGTTGCATTGCAATGCATGTTAATAAAAACGGTGTCACAGCATATCCACGGAGTGAATGATGATGAGTGGGGCGAAGCGTCCGCCAGTCTGTCCGTCCGTGCGTCCGTCCATCCATCTATCAACTTCGCCCCACTCATCATCATCCACCTCATGGATATGCTGTGTTTTTTTTTCAATACGCCCTGTTAGAACAAGTGAACTGACTACTAGCCCATTTCCAAACCTTTATAACACGGTCGACAGGAACCTAAACCTGCTGTACGGCGATTCCATTTTTCTTGATTTCTTTCTCAGTCACATTATGCATGGGCTTTGACATGAATATAGTGTACAGCACCTTGAGCAGTTCATTTTACGTCCTTTGATTGGTCGAGAAAGGTCGTTGTAGGCGTTCTTCATCACGTGTTACCCCATTAGTTTCAACTGCGTACTAAACTGCTCATAATTCTGCTACCATCTTGGACGTTAATTTCAAGATTACCTTTGGAGTTCCGGTCCTCATCGTCCAGTTCCAGCTTGCGCAAGGCCAAGCCCTCTTCAAGGTCTGCATAGTCTGCAAAAAAAAAAAGTGGTCACCCGTTAATTACACGAAACTGAGTGTTCCTGAAATGAAGAGTACTGCAACACTCTACTGACTGGATGTGTCTGATGATAATAAAAAGAAGAAGGAGGCTAGTATTTCTATGTGATTTGTTCGGCCGAATTTCTCAGGAGTTGCTCCACGATGTGTCAGTTGTGTATTTTAACACGGAAGTGTTTTATGCCGAGGTCCACGACGGCTCCGATGACGCATTTCCGTGACGGATATGACATTGTAAAATATATATCAACAGACTGCCAAGAAAAAGAAAACAATATGTTAGAGCTCTGCCGTGGGCGTCAAACCAGTGACTTTTCGAGAAGCAATGCTAGCCGCTGTACCACAATGTGCATGTAGTCAAAAGCGCTCACGTCAAACCCTTTATATACACCACATACCATTTGGCAGTTCTCAGAGCTCTGAAGATTCACAGCATCTATTCACAGCATGCTACTTGTTAGCATGTAAATTTGTGCTTACTGAGCGCCTTGTGAAAATCACATCAATCTTTCCCTGCGCAAGATTGGAGCTGTCGGTGCGGCTATGGCTCCAATAACTGGCTACGAAATATGCAGGCAGCCAAACGCCAATCGAGTTGAATGTTGATTGGGGCCCACTGTCCATCACGTGAAAATAAAACATCGTTGTCGAAGTGACATCGTGTCATCCGCGATTAAACCTGTTTGCGGAGCGGTAAGACGATGCTACAAGCAGTACGGTTGTTAATTGTTAAAATGATGAACATGACGTGGGAGGCATTGTATTATGTTGGGTATACGATCGTAGAACTTAATTTCGCTGAACTGAAGGGTGTTAGCAATGGGCTGAAGTCTGTATAGAGGCTTAAAAAAGTTCTCACAATGAAATACCTCGCTTAACTGCAGTTTGTTCAATCGTCATTCTACTGCATCAAAAAAAAAAAAAAAAATGAGGGATGCACACAAGCGACCGCACACGAGCAGTTTATCAGCTCGAGGCGTTAAAGACGCTATATACGGCCTCAAGTTTCACGGCTATCGAGAAAGTGTTTTGTTTGCAGCCGGAAACCGCTACTTTTGCGTCCCAGCACGGCCCTCGCGCAGCCGACATTATCCGCCGCAGTTGCACTGGCACGTGCGAAGCCTTGTCAAGACGACACAATCCAGAGCAGAGCGACCGAGCGGCCCAAGGCCTTCGCACGATCCGCCCAAAGAGCGCCGATGACGCCACTCGCGTATTTTAAAAGCGGAGAAGTCAAAGGGGACGCACTCGGTTGCAGCTCACGACGCCCATAAATCACTCGCATTGTCTCCACGCAGCCGCCGTTAGTCACGAAAGCGGTTGCGACACGCGCCTCGATGGAGCGTTCGACGTTTAAGCGTTTCCCGCGTGTGTCAATGTGTGCGTCTTAGTGCGTGAGAGAGAGCCAGACCGTATGCGCATGCGCGGGCATGTGCGGGCATGCGCCTTTCCGTCGGACGTCGGCTGCAACGACATACTTTTGTTGGATACTTTTTTTTTCTAAAAAGGCCCTTTTACGTTTGCGATTTCAAAGACAAGAGAGAGGTTTCTTTCTCGCCTTTTCTACGATTCTTACAGGCGCCATATCCACCTCACCAATTATTTCTTGATAAAATATTCATAAGGGTATAGCGCACCACGACAAGGACACAATAAGAGAGACGCACATACATACAGCGCTAACTTGCAACTATTGTTTTATTTGCGATCACACATGCTATTTATATTGTAACAGTGGACCGATAAAACCTGGAACATATCATGTTAAGATACAGCACGCCTCATGCACGAGCCATCATCGATCGCGACATGGTGCGCTATACCCTTATAAATAATGAGCCCCAACCAACTAACCCAACAGTGTCTTAGCGAATTTCATAAAATACTATGACCATGTCAACGCTAAAACCTATCAAGATTTCACGTTTTTTGGCTGCAGGTAGTTATCGCTGCTTGGGCCGTTCAAAACGCACAAAACAGAGTGTAAAAAGTTGGCACCGCACAATAGTCACGTGAGACAAGGCAGAACTGGCGTGTGGCTGCATGACAAAGCTAGGTATACCAGACAATTCACAACTATCGTATATGAACCAATCGAAAGTTAGTTCTTCGTTACGTCATTGAACAGACAGCTGACGTCACAAGTGTGCCGTACAAAGACGGCAAACGCGAGGTGAGAGCAACGTGCTTGTTCCTGCTATTTGCAGACATATTTTTTAAGAGCCATTTCATGTATGTGCCGTGCGTATTGTTTTATTGGTGGTCGCACTCACCTTGAAGAGCTTTTTGGGTGAGCTACAAGGTGAAGTGAAACCGTGGTACTACGTGGATGAGCATGGATCCGTAACCCTCACACAACTCGCTCCAAACTCATTCACAAGACGTTTTCTTGGTCGCTTAGAGACACTGCTCGGGCACAGTTTCACCGACATTGTGCTCAGCCTCCTTAATACTGAGTCATATTATTCAAAATTATACTCGGTCAAATTCTTTTGAACTCAGGCGCACTGGTCTGTTTCACCTACAGAATACCGACGCACGAACAAGTTTGTCGACCTGCGGTCAGTCAGTCAGCAGTCGTCGAGTCAGCTCTCGCACCTTGATGTTCTTTATTGTCCATATGATTTCGTCCCATGTCTGTTAGTAAAGGCGCCTTTGTACCTTTGTGACAACTCTCAATTGAAACGGTGGCAATAGGTGTCAACATTAAGGGACCACAAGAGGGCAGAGTAGTCCTAAGAACAAATGGTTGTAAAGGGTATGTTAGTCCAAATCTAGAAAAAGAAATGGACGTTTGCAGGGCATGTAGGGCATGCGCAAGATAAACGCTGGTTAGTACGAGTAATAGACCCCGTTTCAAAAGAAGCCAAATGCGCGAGGGGTATAGATGGTTTCAAAATTGCAAGTGTTCGTCCCCAAAAAACTTCCGGTCCCCTCATTTACCAGCTTCTAACTTCAAAACTGAAAGCGCATTCTCAAGTTTTTTTTTTCAATGGTAAAGAAAGGCTCTCTTTAATATTTAAGATAAAGGAAACATGCGTAAAGTTCAAATAAGTAAGCTATAGTTTTTATGTAGCTAAGACATTTATTTGAATATATATCGCAAAATAAAAGAAGAAAAGTGTAGAAAATGAGCGGGCTATTTTCTAAAGCTCTTCTTGCTCACCGTTGCTGTTAAGGCACATCGGTGGACGAAATCGGATGTTGTCAAAGTCTGTGTTTGTAAACAGTGAAAGGGTCTATACATGAAGTTGGGTGGGCAGTTTAGATTAAGAGGTTTGCGATATAACGTGGCCACAGCAAGCACATGACCGGATTGAGTGGCGAAACACGGAAGATGTCCTTGCCCTGCAGAGGTTGTATAGCCAGGGTGGTCATAGCGATCATGATGATAATGATGATAATGATGAAGAATAGAAGACGGTGATGATGAGCAGGATGACAACTCTCACAAACGTAGCTAAGCTTCTCCGCAACCAGAACATTAGTGATAGTTAAAAAGCAGCAAGCCGAGAGAAATAAAGGAAGTTTTTGGTCGGCTCAGAGGACGCTCCATGGCCGGGTATAGTGAGCCGTAAAGCGCTACATCTTCACCGTATAGCGCAGTGTGCAGTAAACTCGTAAATGGCCTCTTACTGCATTGCACAGAACTAGCTTCTCGAGCATTTCATCACAGTTGTGGAAGCTGCGACCTGTGCACGGTCATCCATCGCTCCGCGCTTGTCATCGCCACAGCACGTCACCTCTGCCCTCTTTCACCACTCCGGCAAAGTGGAGAGGCGCGACCCAGAATAGCCGAGCGTGACAGAAAGTATGACCGAGCCAGTCTTTTATTTTTTTTTTCAAAAAAGAAGGACCGCAAGGAATAAAACGGCCAGCGTTGGAGACGTTCGCTCGCACGGAAACCCTTTGGGAGTACGCGACGGGCCCATTCCCTCTTCTCCCCAACTCCAACTTCCCGACGTTGTTTAGTAAACAACTTGTAACTTGTTTAGTAAACAATGAGGGGAAAAAGAGCACTTGAAAAAACAACAAAAATCGGCAGATCCGACGTTCCTTGGCATCGATGTTAAGCAAAGAAGGCGAGGGGAAGATGACCGTGCTGTGCTTTTTTATTGCGCGACACGTCATGAAATGACGCTAAATACGTGTACAAACGTTGCAAGCACAGACATATGTCGAACAGTTCAAGATGCTTACACATGAGGTTATTTGCTCTTCAGCAACGGTGCCAACAAGAACATGAGTATTAGCAACACCAAAAGCGATAAGCTTATTTGAAGTGCTGATGCTCGCGAATATGGTAGTCTTGGGAACTGCTACATAAATCAACTTGAACGAATATCACCTAATTACAGTTGATGTTATCCTGACGTGACGGCTGTGTGATAGGAGTACATAAGCAATCTTTATAAAATTGGATAGACCCACCCTCCAGCACTGCAATCACAATTGACGTTTCCGAAACATTACGGAGTATTTGAAAAGTTGTTCCGACACTTGGCGTGGTTATGTGGTAGAATACTCGATTGGGGCGCAGAATGCTGGGGTTTGATTCCGGCTGAGACCACGATATCTATTGTATGCGTTCGTTGAGCCAACGATATCTGCTTTTTTCTTAACGCTAACGCGTTAAAGTTACCTGTGTGTGTTCTCACCGTTCCGGTGTAGATAGGTTTCAAGCTACTGTGGCACATACCCGCATACAAGTGGCACATACCCTACCACGGGCAAGTGGCACAGTTCAACGGGAAGTGTTTGACGACGTACACGACAGTCTTGACTAGCGCGTCGTATTTGTCAAACCATCTTACCCTCCCATACTACATCTGGTTGACGCCAGGTTTAGGTGGTGATCACTAGAGCACCCAGTCGTAAGCATATAGATAGATAGATAGATAGATAGATAGATAGATAGATAGATAGATAGATAGATAGATAGATAGATAGATAGATAGATAGATAGATAGATA